TGCCTTCAAATTATTGCCTATCCACCCTACACTATGGCACCTGCATGGCATTAAGTGGGCCGGGCACTACTACTTTTTCTCACGCCTAACGTTTGGTTCAAAAGTAGTCCGGCCATTTTTGACGTATTCGCCGAAACATTATGCTGGTTATTATTAAATGTAGCCAGATGCCCTACAGTTATACACTACCTGGATGATTTCTTACTGATCGAAGAGAACACTTCCCCTCCCAGTAGCCTCATAGAAACCATCAGTCTTTTTAAACAGGTGGGTGTTCCAGTCTCCCCCACCAAAACTGAAGGACCAGATACAGTCATCACCTTTCTGGGAATCATGCTAGACTCAGCCACCATGCAAGCCAGCCTGCCACGCACCAAGATAGAGAACATTCTCACCAACATTAACCTCTACATACACCTCGGTACTTGCAATCGCAAAGAATTGCAGTCTCTACTTGGGTCACTGAACTTTGCCATGCGCATTATACCTCAAGGCCGGGCTTTCATCTCACGGCTCCTAACCATGTTCCCACTGTTTAGACATGATGCACACAGGTTACCACTGGATACCCAAGCCACGGCAGACCTACTTATGTGGAGAAACTTTTTGACCACCTGGAATGGGAAAAGCATGTTTCTCCCTAAATTGTCTGACTCCTCACCTACCATCTGGTCAGACGCGGCGTCTACCACAGGTTTTGCAGCAATTTACGGGAATGAATGGCTTTGGGGTAGCTGGCCTCCAGATGTACAGGACCTGGAAGGGTTTTCCACTACCTCAGCTCTATTTGAGATGTATCCCATTGTGGCAGCTGCCGTGACATGGGGGCATCTATGGGCAGGTTCGTCAGTACGTTGCCACTCAGACAACCAAGCTACCTGCCACATCATAAACAAAGGCCGATCCAAGTCACTGACCATTATGAGGTTCTTGAGGAAACTCACCTGGCTGGCTGCATGCCATAATTTCTTCTTGTTTTGTGTCCATGTCCCAGGTGTTTGTAACACGGCTGCTGACAATTTGTCTCGTTTCAATTTTCAGGCTTTTCGGCAAATACTTCCGTCAGCCGCACGTACAGCCACGACCACTCCACCTTTCCACCAGCTAGTCATGGACTAGAAGCTATTATGCAACATAGCAGGACATTGGCACAATTAGCACTGTCCACCAATACCCGGAGAACATATGACAGGGCTTTCCTTCTATTTAAAAGATTCCTGTCACTGCACAACGTCACACAACCTTTCATCATGACATCTTTGTTAGGTTTTGCTTCTTTTTGCCACCTCAAACTTAAATTATCTTACAACACAATCAAGCTATATCTGACAGGCATACAACATCACATGCTAACATTACAACCAAACAACACAAGTTTCATGTCCTCCTACCAGATAAAAACATCCTTAGAGGTATCCAGAGATCCGAACCCCCACGTACCGCGCAAAGGCTACCTATAGACTTCAATATCTTCAAGGATTTATCCAGCCTACTAGATTCAAAACCCTTTGCGAACAACACAAACCTTGTTATAAAAACCGCCATATACGTAGCTTTTTATGGTTTCTTGAGACCAAGAGAATTTACCGCCATCAACACATCCCAGTCCACTCACATTCTGCTTCATTCACACTTAACGAAACACATGGATTACTATATTTTAGCTCTGCATCACTCCAAAACCAATCAACACGCACCCCCGGTAGAGGTTAGATACTATCCTACCCACAACGTGTGGTGCCCCGTCACATTACTGGACACATATACTCAGCATTTCAAAGCATCACCATCTCAACCACTTTTCTGTCTACAAGGTTCGGTACTCACTACCACCACCTTCATGACCCGCGTCAGGTCCCTACTTACACAACTAGGCCTAAAATCAGCTAACTATTCGGGCCACTCCTTCCGCATAGGGGCGGCCTCCACAGCGTCCAGTGCAAACATTCCAGTACATGTTATCAAGTCACTAGGGCGCTGGAAGTCTTCTGCATACTCTAGATACATACCTAACCCGGTACAAGAAGTTAGAAATGCCTTTCAAGATATGTCTGGTTGAAGTATGTATACTGCTCGTTTCGTAATAAAGTATATTTTCTACTTTTGCCCTCTTTATTTGCAGGCCTACCTCATCGTCGGTTCCGGCACACCACAACCGACTTGCTCTTTCACACTATCCCACACTTATCAGTGTTTGTATCTTCTGTACTATCATGAGCCCTTAACACAAGTATTAAGGCCTTTTGGCCTGTAATTGTGGGAGGGGCGTATGACTCACCTTCTCCCTACTTAAGGGACACCCCTTACCTGGCTCCATACCGTTCGAGGTCAGCGCTGCATCACCCTCCCACCCACTCCTCTTTTATTAACTCCTTTTTCTCATACATCTCTTATTGGTGGGCCCTCTTTATTTGCAGGCCTACCTCATCGTCGGTTCCGGCACACCACAACCGACTTGCTCTTTCACACTATCCCACACTTATCAGTGTTTGCATCTTCTGTACTATCATGAGCCCTTAACACAAATATATATATATATATATATATATATATAGATATATAGATATACATACATATAATTATTTTACAGGCAGTCCCCCTGCAGGCATACACATGGACACCTATTGTGACCATGTGATCGCTCTGTTGAGCGATCACATGGCCCCAGGGGTCCTAATCCGCCATGGGAAGACTGTCTGGGCTGCAGGCAGTCTCCCCACAACGGGAGCAACACCGATCGACTCCGGGGGATCGACGGCGATCGGGTAAGTACATTGGACCGTTAGGTCCTGAACTGTTCTCGGTCCTGAAGGGGTTAAAGTTTTAAAATTCTAAGCACCATAACCACAATAGTTAAATTGGTTAAGGTGACAGAAATCCCCTGGCACTGATCCTTGGTAAAAAGTCAAACTGTTTGCAAGAGTCTTGATACTTATATATATATATGTCATACTAAGTGTATTTTTATATTAATATGTACATATAATATAAAAATACACTTATAATTAAATTACACACATATATAATATATATAATAACTATATATATATTGTATATAATTATTATAAAATACAAATAATAAGTAATTTAAATTAAATAAAAACATGTAAAAATAATAATTTAAAAATATATATCTAACTGTATTTTGATAGTAATATATATATATATATATATATATATATATATATATGTATAAATAAAAATAATACGAAATATACATATGTCCATATACAAAATTACATAAAAAAATTATATAAATATACACGTAGACTTCAAATATATAAATATGCATATGTATTTAAATTCTACGTGCGTATTTATGTAATATTTTTACATAATTAAGTAATTTTATTGATTGCAATTTGAGGGACCTGCCTGCCAACCCAGGCCGAAAGTCCAGAGAATTTAATTTGCTAGCACTATATTTTACCCTGTAACTTTCTATGACACCCTAAAACCTGTACATGGGGGGTACTGTTTTACTCGGGAGACTTTGCTTGAAAAAGAAGACAACCCAAAGTATTGCAAATGGGGTATGCCCAGTCTTTTTTAGTAGCCAAAATTAGCGTTCAATGTAGTTTTTTACTTTTTTCACACAGAAACAAATATGAATGCTAAGTTTTTTTGTTTTTTTTTAATTTTTCATCTTTTTTTAATTTTTTTTCAAATTAAATTACATGAGATTCTATAAATAATGGTATGTAAAGAAAGCCCCTTTTGTCCTGAAAAAAAAACCAAATATATAATTTGTATGGGAACAGTAAATAAGAGAACGGAAAATTACAGCTAAACAGAAACACCACAAAAGTGTAAAAAGAGGCCTGGTCGCAAATGTACAACATCGCAAAAACAGTCCAGTACTTAAAGGACCACTATAGTGCCAGGAAAACATACTCCGGGCTGGATGGCGAGGAAAGGGTTAAATCTTACCTTTTCTCCAGCGCTGGGCGGGGAGCTCTCCTCCTCCTCCTCGGCTGAATGCACATGCGCGGCAGGAGCTGCGCGCGCATTCAGCCAGTCTCATAGGAAAGCATTCATAATGCTTTCCTATGGACGCTTGCGTCTTCTCACTGTGATTTTTCACAGTGAAGGAAACGCATAACATACTCTAGCGGCTGTCAATGAGACAGCCACTAGAAACTGGATGCTTTATTGTAAACATAGCGGTTTCTCTGGAAACTGCTATGTTTACTGAAAAGGAGTTAATCCTAAGGGTAAGATCCAGAGCACTGAACCGCACTTCATTAAGGGACCGCACTATAGTGCGGAAAACATACCGTTTTCCTGGCACTATAGTACTGAGTGCCCCCACCCTCAGGATGTCCCCCTCACGCCCGGCTCTGGAAGGGGTTAAAAGCGTGCACTTGGCTGGGCGGGAGGCTCTCCTCCTTCTCTGCCCTCCTGGGCTGAATGCTTGCAGCGACGAGCATCCCGGCGGGAAAACTCCTCCTTCTCTCCTCCTCCTATGGAGGCTGAATGCTTGCAGCGCATTTCCTATGAGCAGCTGCGTTACTCTCACTGTGAAAAGCTTCATAGCGCCTCTGAGTAGCTGTCAATGAGACAGCCACTAGAAGATAGAGGAGAAGGCTTAACCCATTCATAATTATAGCAGTTTCTCTGAAACTGCTATGTTTATAAAAAAAATGGGTTAACCCTAGAAGGACCTGGCACCCAGACCACTTCATTAAGCTGAAGTGGTCTGGGTGCCTAGAGTGGTCCTTTAAGCTGAAGGGGTCTGGGTGCCTAGAGTGGTCCTTTAAGCTGAAGGGGTCTGGGTGCCTAGAGTGGTCCTTTAAGATGAAGGGGTCTGGGTGCCTAGAGTGGTCCTTTAAGGGGTTAAATTAAAATACTGTGTATATTATTATTATTATAATAGTGTAGTGTAAAAAAAAAAAATTTTTAACGTGTTTTCAATGTAGGAATGAGCATTTTTTGTGTGTGTGTTTGTTTGTATGTGTAAGCAGTTCTGTCACTATATATATACACTTATAACACTAATTCTTGTGCTGTGTCCTGTTTCTCCTCTCACCCCTTGTGTAAAGTTTTGGTTTCTTCCTTATGGCTCCGGAAGCGGATTAATGATCAATCCAGGCCGTACTATTCTGTAAAAAAGAGGGGGGTCCGCTAGGCCTGGCACCCCTCGCCCGAGACAGATTTTCGGGTTATGGAAGCCGGATAGCGGCTTCTGAGTGCTCGGTGTCTCCGCTGCGGATCGCTTGTCGTGTTGCCGGAGGATGTTGGCGCGTTTATGGAGCTCAGGCCGGGGACTGCCCCGGGGCCTGCTCGGCCTGGGACTGGCCGTAGCGGCTGCACGGGCGGTGGAGGATCACAGCGAGGGAGAGAGGGACAGGAAAGAGCGCGGGGCCTACAGGCTGGCCATCGAGAGGAGCCGGGAGCTGCTCCGGCGGGTCAAGGTGATGGAAGAGACAGGAGACGCAGCATTAATCACTGCGAAGGGGATATCAGGGAGCTGCTGGCGGAGGGGATGTGGTTTAATTACAATGAGGAGGTGGAGGGACGTAAAGTAAAGCTTATAGCGGGTTATTTACTAAGGAGACAATGGGAGCAGCTCAGAGTGAAGGCACTTATTAGTTAAATTAAAAAACTGAAACCATAGCTGACATGGAGAATATGCCTTCACACTTTAAAGGGACACTGTAGGCACTTTAATAACAATTTCATTTTTTTTTTGAAGTTGTTATAGTGCCTGCAGGTCTACCCCTAAAAACCCCTATAGCGTACTAATTAGGGGGCTTGTAAGTGCAGCTTGAAGCCACGCCTCCAAGCCCTCGGGGTATGAGAGCTGGGAATCTCACTTCCTTACTCTCATATCGTGACATCACATCATGCGGACATACGCAGTGCCGTCATTTGTATTAAATGGTTCTCTATGGCAGAATCTAAGGCGCTTTGTGGCGAGTGTTGCACATGCATTTAAAGGGACACCATAGGCACCCAGACCACTTCAGCTCATTGAAGTGGCCTGGGTGCAATGTCCCATGTCACTTAACCCTACAGTAGTAATTATTGAGAAACTCATTCTGGGAAACTGCAATAATTACCTTGCAGGGTTAAGTCCTCCTCTAGTGGCTGTCTACAAGAGGAAAAGTTGAGTAATTTGTTTTTTAATTCAATTCATTCATTTTAGTTTTTCATTTTTTTTATATTGAGGGTGGGGACCTAATTTATAAGGAGCATCAGGGCGAGCGTTAGGAATACAGATATATATTTCTAATGTTACATTGGTCCTTTAAGAGTTATTAGTTAAAGTGTCAGTTGTTTGAAATTGAATGTGAACTTGGCCAAAATGCACCAGGTTTTCCTCAATTCATTTGACACATGCTGTAGGGCAATACATTAAAAGGGCTGCCCAGCAGTATGTAGACTTCATTTGCTGCGGAAAGGAAATCTATTCTTTCCACAAAGGAGGAGTCTCTAAATAGCTGCTGTGCTTAATTGGTATCCATGGTATAACATAATAATGCTGCATATAGTAGTGCAACATTTTTCATGCACTGACCATTAAGTTTAACATGAAGTGAAATGTGTTCATTAAAAAATGGCAGATCTAGCAAACCAAGGCCCAGAAATTCTATAGTGCAAATTTGTAATTACATGTCTGTTAGTCCACCCATTGTACAGCGCTACGGAATGTGATGGCGCTATATAAATAATAAAATGGTAAAATAATAATAATATAACTTTAACTCTAAAATCTTTCACTTACAGACCTTGTCACCCCATATTTCCATTATTCTTACATTGTATACTAAAAATTGATTTCAACAAGTTTCAATTCACAATATCATTATTTTATCAGACATGGGTGAATTAGAAACAGGGAATGTCAGGTATCAGAATTGCAAACATGTATCAGAACATTATCCAAATTACTATTACTACAAAAATACTATTGAGCAGGTCCCATGTCACCTCATTTTCCTTTTTGCCAAGACCCGTCATGTATGTTTTATTAATTGTTAAATATTGCAGCACAATATGTTGGCTCTTTTTAAATAAAATAATTGACCCTGATTTTATTTTTTGGCTGATGCCAGTTGCATGATTGTTAGAAAGTACACAAGCTATGCACTATAGCACAAAACTCTTGTTCTCCCTTTTCCAACATGATTTTGGTTACAATATGGTTACCATATTGACCATATCTTTATGGATACATATCACATACACACACAAGGCAACTACAAGAGATACCCTGTAATATGTACATGTCAAATGTTGCAGTTAGGAAATCTGTTCAATAATCAAAGAGGAATCTTGCGGAATATTAAAGGAACACTATAGTCACCTAAATTACTTTAGCTTAATAAAGCAGTTTTAGTTTATAGATCATTCCCTGGCAATTTCACTGCTCAATTCACTGTCATTTAGGAGTTTAATCACTTTGTTTCTGTTTATGCAGCCCTAGCCACACCTCCTCTGGCTATGATTGACAGAGCCTGCATGAAAAAAACAAACTCGTTTTAACTTTCAAACAGATGTAATTTACCTTAAATAATTAAATCTCAATCTCTAAATTGAACTTTAATCACATACAGGAGGCTCTTGCAGGGTCTAGCAAGCTATTAACATAGCAGGGGATAAGAAAATCTTAATTAAACAGAACTTGCAATAAAGAAAGCCTAAATAGGGCTCTCTTTACATGAAGAGTTTATGGAAGGCTGTGCAAGTCACATGCAGGGAGGTGTGACTAGGGTTCATAAACAAAGGGATTTAACTCCTAAATGGCGGATTGAGCAGTGAGGCTGCAGGGGCATGTTCTATACACCAAAACTGCTTAATTAAGCTAAAGTTGTTCAGGTGACTATAGTGTCCCTTTAATGCTTACACTACAGAACAGGCCTTTTAATGTACCACGCAACAGCATGTATAAGGGATGTGTGCAGTAAAACATGGTGGGTCTATTGGCAATCCAATCATCCTGTTTGGGACCTATGCCCTGCCAACCCTGGTTAAATTTCCAAATAGCACTTTTGTGGGCAGTAAGCGATTTCCGCAATTAGGGAGCCCTGGTTGTTTGACTGCTAACGTGTGTAAAGAGATATGAATGCTTCCTTTGACTGGCAGCCCCAACTTATTGACCCTAAATTTACACGAGCACCACACAGCCATGACTTACTTTGTTTTGCCTACTTGTTTATTGTTTTAAAGGGGAGCTCAAGGTCCCTATCCACTATAATCCATTCTAGTGGTTATGGTGCTGTAAATCTATGGGCACCATTCTCTGTTTTTCTGTCAAGTAGTTTGAAAAGGGAAAAAAACAAAACAAAAAAAGACTCTCTTTATCACCAAAACCACTCTCCTTCTTCCACCTTACGTAATGTCCGTTATATAAATCCTGGACAGATCGATTCATTTAAGCATAGATCATTTTGAATTTGATATGTTTGTCGCAGGTGAAAAGGATTTGCGCACAAGTCTGCTTGTCACTGCATGCACAACGGTATTCTCATAACGTGTAAGAGTTAATTACTAAGCATGTGTGTGAAGGATGTCATATGTTAAAGCAGGCATAGTGTTTTATTGTATTTTGGAAAGGGAGACCAATATTTGGATCAGGTTTCTCGAACACTTTTTGGTTGATGCAGGACGTCACCAGCAGCTTTTTAAAATTGTTTTTTTAAACTATAAAGATTTGAGCTTGCAAAAAATATAGCATTTTAATGATGCCGAAATGTATCAAACACTTTAAAGTTGTATTGGTGCCCAGTGTCCTTTTAAGTTTAAGATCGAGAAATCCACAGGTGGTAGCACAAGTGGTTATTTGGAAAAATAAGTAACGCAATGTTTCATCTCTATTAGTTAGATATATGCAAAAATATGCAAAGTCAAAATAATATATTATAATAATAAATACAAGATAACAAAAAGTACATTCGCATGGGAAGTTTTTGCACTTGCAATAAATCTTTAGCATTTACATGTCCTTCAGTTAGCAGTGCCCAAAACAGGAAGTGATCAGCCAAACAGGATGCTCCAGTAATGCATGTTGAGCTTATCCCATAAATCTACACGCTGCAGAGGTTTTTTTGGAAGAGCAGGGATTTGTAGTTTATTTATCATCATTCTACTTGATGAATGATATCTCCTTGAAACCATTGTTGTGCTTCATAATAGTATATACAACTATTGAACCAAAAAGTGAAACTGCAGATTTGGGGGAAGGTAAAGAAATGGTGAGCTAATATAGCAAAATTACTCCTTAAAAAATGTACTTCCAGTCAGAGTCACTATACTGTAACATTACACCAAATGTATCTGTTTTACCCATTCTATTGCCTCTGCAAGCATGGTGGAAAGAATATGACACACACGTAATGATATATGTACTCCCTAACTGCATGTCTTGTTGCACTAACAGGACTTTCATGTGGTTCAACTTTTTATACTGTCCTTGTTGGTCGTGTCTGATTTGTGACACCACATAATGTAATACTGTAACCATCAAGAATGAATAGGGAATGTAGGCAAAAACTATACAATTTAAAAAAAGGCAAAAATACATTGAATTATTTAGTCCAAAAGCTTTGATGCCCAGAGTGTCCTTTTAAAATTGTGGTATGTTGGACTCCAACTTTATGTGGCTCTGTCACATTCCGAGGTCTTTGGATGGTGTGCGATAGTCCGGGGTTGCAGTGCAAGTGAGTTAAAAGATCACTATAGGGTCAGAAACACAAACCTGTATTCCTGACCCTATAGTGTTAACACCACCAACTAGTCCCTCTGGGCCCCTCATGCCTCCATAAATGTAGTAAAAATCTTACTGTATTCAAGCCTGAAGCTGAAAATCTGCATGCTGTTAGACGTAGAAAAACAAGCAGTCTGCTGACATGTGGTAGCCTGATCCAATCACAGTGCTTCCCCATAGGATTGTCTGAGACTGAAAAAGAGGCAGATCAGGGGCAGAGCCAGCATGATTCAAACACAGCCCTGGCCAATCAGCATCTCCTCATAGAGATGAATTGAATCAAAGAATCTCTATGAGGAAAGTTCAGTGTCTGCATGCAGAGGGAGGAGATACTGAATCACAGGATGCTATGCACAGTGCTGCCCTGTGCTCTGCTGACAGCAGATCTGAGTGGATGGAGGCATATTATGCCTCCATCAACTCTGAAGTCCCTCTGGTTCACTCTGAGTGACTGCAACTGGAGGTGTTCCTAGCTTTCAATGTAAACACTGCATTTTCTCAGAAAATACAGTGTTTACAAGAGAAAGGCTGCAGGGAGCTATAGTTCTCACCTGAACAACCTCATTAAGCTGAAGTTGTTCAGGTGACTATAGTGTCCCTTTAAACTTAACTGACTTTGCCACCATCTTCAACCTTCAGCTCATTGTGCTTCAACTGCCAGAAGCCCACTTCAGTGCTGTACTCTTGTGGATGCATGACCGCAGGAGCCTCCATAGATATTCTAATGCCTTACTCACAAAAACAAATACAAGACAGCGAGAGCAGACCCAAGCACTATATCCTAAGATAATAGTGCCGGTCTAAGCTCCCGGTCCTATGTACCGCAGGGAGACTCAAGGGGTCTCCAGCGGCTTAACCCCAATATAGGTAATAAACGAAAAGGAGTAGATGCTAATAGTCTCAATGTAGGTCAAGACATAAGACCATATGCATCACCTGGATATAAACATAGCCAAGTAGGAAAAAAATATATTAATAATGGCTAAATTAACCCCAAAACAAAATTGAGACCATGAAATAGGTAAAAAAATAAAGTATATACAAATATAACTAATGCCACTATGCATCCAAGGTAGAAGCAGGTAGAGGTCACTTCCAAATAAATAAAGGGATATGATATAAAATACTCAGATAAAGCTTTATTAGAACGCTAGCTTAAATGAAAATATCAATCCCAACTGTGACCCCTATCTCTGATCAAACCCTTGTAAACATCTGGGTGATATCTCCAAAAATACTAGATCTCCAGCCCTAACTCTCCAGGGTACACAAAGACCCAATGTGGAGCCATCCAAATTAGCTAACTTAGCAACAAAGGATCAGGTCCCTAAAGTAAAAGACAGTATAGGGCTGTTGATCCTGGTCACAAAGAGACCAAACAATGTAGGATTGCTGCACAATAGTATCCAGAGTAGAAATACTTGCAGATACAACAGAGAGAGAGTAAATAGTATGAAATTAAAAAGTCAGTTTCAAATAAACTGACAGTATGATTTATAAAGCCTCTCTCCCTCCCTCCCTTATTGCTAAGTTAGCTAATTTGGATGGCTCCACATCAGGACTTTGTGTACCCTGGACAGTTAGGGCTCGAGATCTAGTATTTTTGGAGATATCACCCAGATGTTTACAAGGGTTAGATCAGAGATAGGGGTCACAGTTGGGATTGATATTTTCATTTAAGCTAGCGTTCTAATAAAGCTTTATCTCAGTATTTTATATCACATCCCTTTATTTATTTGGAAGTGACCTCTACCTGCTTCTACCTTGGATGCATAGTGGCATTAGTTATATTTGTATATACTTTATTTTTTTTACTTGTTTCATGGTCTCAATTTTGTTTTGGGGTTAATTTAGCCATGATTAATATATATTCTTTTCCTACTTGGCTATGTTTATATCCAGGTGATGCATATGGTCTCAGGTCTTGACCTACATTGAGACTATTAGCATTTACTCCTTTTCATTTAATGCCTTACTCACTCCTACTATTAGCAATGGCTAGAGAAAGCAACTAATGATGGTGGAAGCTCTACATATTACATAGTTACATAGCTGAAAAGAGACTTGTGTCCATCAAGTTCAGCCTTCCTCACATATATTTTGCTGTTGATCCAAAAGAAGGCAAAAAAACCCCAGTCTGAAGCGCTTCCAATTTTGCCACAAACTAGGAAACAATTCCTTCTTGACCCCAAAATAGCAGTCAGATGTCTCCTTGGATCAAGCAGCTATTACCCCACTAATTAGAAATTATATCCCTGTATGTTATGTTTTTGCAAGTATTTATCCAATTGCAGTTTAAACATCTGTAATGTCTCTGACAAAACCACCTCTTCAGGCAGAGAATTCCATATCCTTATTGCTCTTACTGTAAAATTACCTTTTCTTTGCTTTAGATTAAATATCCTTTCTTCCAACCTAAATGTGTGACCTCGTGTCCTATGTAAAGTCCTCAGATAACTTTTGACTGCTGTGGAATTTAAAAAAAATGCCAACATTTTTGTGAGCACTTCCGAAATATTTTATATCTATGAAATTTTCAAGTAGTTTTTAGGGGTGACAGAACTGCTTTAGTATGCGCAAGGACTTGCAATGACTATAAATCTGTATTTCTAGATATATTATTATTATGTTATTTATATAGCGCCAACAAATTCCGCAGCGCTTTACAGTGGGTGGACGAACAAACGTGTAGTTGTAACCAGACAAGATGGACACATATATATTATAACTAAAATGATTACTCTGTGTTGACAAATGTAAAATTACTCAGATGTTTAAACATTTTTGCCACCAAAATGTTGCAGATCTGTCCTGGAGTTTGTGGGGTGGGGGGTTGGGGGGGAAACAAAAATGTACTTTAGTGCAAGTGTTTCTTTTTTTAAATAAAGATTTTTCTCCTCACAGGACGAGGTGGGGACCCCTGGGATAGTAGTGGGCGTTTCTGTAGATGGAGAAGCAATTTGGGTAGAAGGTAAGGACACTGGTTTAATTGGGAAGACCTATATAATAATCAGCATATATGCACTCTAATAGGGATATTTAATAAAGTGAGAATTTAAAGCGAGTTTCACAATTTTAGGTTGAAGTAGCCGAACTGCAAGCATAGACTTTTTTCTAAAAGCTGCTGCCTGGGACCTCCTTGTACCATAACACCTTCATTCAAATTAAGTTGTTTTGGTTCCTGGAGTGTTCCTTTAACACCCACTTAATAACCCTGTGGCTATGCATGCATCAATAGTTACAACAAATATTGTGTATGTTCAGCATGTGTGCTGGAAGAGATTAACCATGAACATGCAAATACTTTTTCTTATATGCTGTTTTGCCTTTAAGGAGCAGGCTCAGAAAATATTTTACCTGTGTTTTTATTCTGTAACAGGCCTTGGATAGTGAATAAACATTTCACTGTAGAGAGTTTACTCTTCAATACCTTTTGCTTTCCCAAAACATGGTAACGATAATGAAAACATAGGACTATAAAATTACCTCCATGATGCAAGATTGACCTTGTACGGTTGTTCATGGGCCGCTTAGAAGCACCAGGACATTGAACGCACACTTAGAAGGGGCACAACCGCACTGCCCTGCCAGATCGCAAAGGAGTTTTGTTTGTAATGTACTAAGACAAATTGTTGCCAAATATTGAACTACCTATTTCAAAACCTCAACTGGCCAGGCGTTTGTGGGATATGCTTAGTAATTCCTTTGGAAAAAATGAAAGGACTAAGATTGGCTGATATGGCTTAACTACTTGTTAGTTTGGTAAACACTTAATGAAGTGTATTTTTTTTATTTATTTTGTGTATATTGTAATGCATTACCTATATAATGCATGCAATGTTACAATAAATAGTAAAATAAAAATGGCACATTTCTTTTTTTATATGAAATATTAGTGCTTGGAGAATTATGGGATGGGAATTTGTGTCACTTAACATTTCACACAGGGTGCCTTGAGGCCTAATGCCAGCCCTGAGAGGCACAATGGTTAAAATGTCAATGTGGAGTAAGATGTAACATGCTAATTGCTGCTACCTTGTAAGGCAATATTATTACATTACTAATAACCCCCCTCCTCCCTCCCCAAAACAGACATTTTCTACCAAAGGAAATTCCTGTGTTTAATTACAGTCTTCCAAAGCGTCTGTAATATGTTTTGGTTTTAGCAAAATAAATACTTTCATTACAAGTTGCTGGTATGTATTTGTTAATGTGTGTCAATATTTCCAAGTTAAGGAAGGATTTTTTCTAATGGGTCTGTCTTTTTGGAGGCTAAGTTAGTTAATGAATATAAAGGATTACATGCTATCTATAGCCTTTTTGTGTGTGTATTTGTAATGGAGATAGTTAAGATAACCACCAATTTCATGGAATCTCCTAGGCCAGGGGTGCCCAAAAGGTAAATCCCCAGATGTTGTAGAACTACAACTCCCTTGATGCTTTGTATGCCTTTTAGAATGACAAAGCAGCATGGAGGCTGTAGTTTTAAAACCTTTTTGGTACCCTTGTCCAAGGTACTATGCACACTAGTGTGCTGCAGTGGTTATTGCTTGGAATATTCCTTTACCATTACAGCTAAACCTATTTAAGCCTACAGAAAGAAAGGATAATAAGACTCCTATTTAATTGCTTTGAAGAAGATCTTATTACTCTTGTGGCATTTGAAGAGCTTGATGCCGAACAAAGGTAGTAGTGACATTTTTAATATCCTATATAAACACCAGCTGTTGTCTGCTGTTCCACAGGACTTGGGTTTGCAGATGTGGAGAATAGAGTTCCATGTACCCCAGAAAGCGTCATGCGCGTGGCCAGTATCAGCAAATCCTTAACGATGGCGGCCATTGCCAAGCTTTGGGAGGAGGGAAAATTGGATCTTGATGTTCCGGTGCAAAAATATGTACCAGAGTTCCCAGAAAAGGATTTTGAAGGTGAAAAGGTGTGTACCCAACAGACACGTTGCCAAAAATTTTGGATTATTTTGACGGTAGTGAAAACATAAATGTAGAATATGAATGTTTAGAAATTGACCTGATTTTTTACGTACCTATTAAAATGTTGTGAAAAGATGGTTTAAATAATTTAAGCAATGATTTATCTAGTATGTTTATCGCACAGGATTTGTACATCCTTCTCAAAAAAGCATGCGAAAGGCAAATATTTTCCTACAGTGAGGGGAAAAAAGTATTTGATACCCTGCTTATTTTGAACGTTTGCCCACTGACAAAGAAATAATCAGTCTAATTTAAATGGTAGGTGTATTTTAACTGTAAAAGACAGAATAATAAAAATAAATTCCAGAAAAAATTTATAAATTGATTTGCATGTCAATGAGTGAAATAAGTATTTGACCGCTTTGACTTAGTACTTGGTTGCAAAACCCTTGTTGGCAATCACAGAGGTCAGATGTTTCTTGTAGTTGGCCACCAGGTTTGCACACATCTCAGGAGGGATTTTGATCCACTCCTCTTTGCAGATCCTCTCCAAGTCATTAAGGTTTCGATGCTGACGTTTGGCAACTCGAACCTTCAGCTCTCTCCACAGATTTTTTTATGGGATTAAAGTCTGGAGACTGACCCCTCCAGGACCTTAATGTGCTTTTTCTTGAGCCACTCCTTTGTTGCCTAGGCTATGTGTTTTGGGTCATTATCATGCCGGAATACCCATCCACGACCCATTTTCAATGCCCTGGCTGAGGGAAGGAGGTTCTCACCCAAGATTTGACGGTACATGACCCCGTCCATCGTCCCTTTGATGCGGTGCAGTTGTCCTGTCCCCTTAGCAGAACAATTCCCTCAAAGCATAATGTTTCCACCTCCATGTTTGATGGTGGGGATGGTGTTCTTGGGGTCATAGGAAGCATTCCTCCTCCTTCAAACACGGCAAGTTGAGTTGATGCAAAAGAGCTCAATTTTGGTCTCATCTGACCACAACACCCAGTTCTCCTCTGAATCATTCAGCTGTTCATTGGCAAACTTCAGATGGGCCTGTACATGTGCTTTCTTGAGCAGGGAGACCTTGCAGGCGCTGCAGGTTTTCAGTCCTTCACGCCATAGTGTGTTACCAATTGTTTTCCTGGTGACTATGGTCCTAGCTGCCTTGAGATCATTAACTAGATCCTCCCGTGTAATTCTAGGCTGATTCCTCACCATTCTCATGATTATTGAAACTCCACGAGGTGGTGAGATCTTGCATGGAGCACCAGACCATGGGAGACTAACAGTTATTTTGTGTTTCTTCCATTTGCGAATAATCTCACCAAATGTTGTCACCTTCTCACCAAGCTGCTTGGTGATGGTCTTGTAGCCCATTTCAGCCTTCTGCAGGTCTACAATCTTGTCCCTCACATCCTTGGACAGCTCTTTGGTCTTGGTCATGGTAGAGAGTTTGGAATCGGATTGATTGATTGATTATTTCTGTGGGCAGGTGTCTTTTATACAGGTAACAAGCTGAGATTAGGAGCACTCCCTTTAAGAGAGTTCTCCTAATCTCAGCTTGTTACCTGTATAAAAGACACCTGGGATCCAGAAATCATGCTCACTGATAGGGGATCAAATACTTATTTCACTCATTGACATGCAAATCAATTTATAACTTTTTTGACATGCGCTTTTCTGGATTTTTTGCTGTTATTCTGTCTCTCACTGTTAAAATACACCTACCATGAAAATTATAGACTGATCATTTCTTTGTCAGTGGCAAATATTCAAAATCAACAGGGGATCAAATACTTTTTCCCCTCACTGTATATCTACCAAGTGGATTTAAAATTAAATGGAATTTATGACTGAAAAAGCTTAATCAGTATATTGGTATAAAATAAAAATATTGTTAAAAATATATAACATTGAATTGGGTAATCATAACATCTATATTCCAAAGCATACGTTTACATTTGCGTGAGAATCTCAAAGTATCCTTTCTAGCAAAATACTGTGTCATTTAAAGGAACACTTTGTGTTAGGAATACAAAGATATAGTCCTAATACTAATGTGTTTCTCAGCCCACATGGGCCCTCTTCCCTGCCTCTAAAAGGTTAAATAACACTTTATTCACTTACCCTATTCCAGCACAGAAGGACCTGCTTCACCTCCTCTAATGTCATCAATGGTACACAGTCACTAGAGGCAATCTTAGTACCGCAATATAAGCATTGCAGTTTCTCTAAAATGTTTTACATTGCAGGACTAAGGGAGACAGGGGCAGTGCACCCATACCACTTTAATGAGATGAGGTGGTCTGGTTGCCTATAGGGTCCCTTTAATATTATCATCTCATGTATTATGATCTGCATTACTTGTCAATATGGAAATATGAAGCTTGTTATTAATATTTACCTTCGATGTAATCTAGAAAAAAAATAATAATAATATGGCTGCTCTAACTAAACATATGTTACTGATTAAATTTAATGTTTCAGGATAGTATACCCTTTGAATTGGTTGTGGTATTAGGCATTACATATGTGAATGAAGAAGAGCTTTCATTTACTATCATGGGTGCTGGTCATTAAATGTAACTCTTTTTACAAAATAATTTTCCATTACCATCTACATTTTATCCAAAAGATATGTTTGCTTTATTTATTTTTTATAATTTTATAAGGGTTTATCTTTTCAGGTGACATTAACGACCAGATTATTGGTTTCTCACCTGAGTGGGATTAGACATTACGAAAAGGATGTTGAGAAAATAAGGAAAAAACTATCCAAGAAATCTCTTCCAGAGGGGTCCACAGAGAAGCAAGCTCAGGAAACGGAAACTGAAAAAGCTAAACCTGACAGCGATACCAAAGAACTGAGCAAAACAGGAGAGCAGAAAAACCGGACGTTGGAACCAGAAGAGTTTTACATCAAGGAAAAGTTCGACAGTGTGATAGATTCTCTGGAACTGTTTAAAAATGATCCGTTAGTGTTTAAACCGGGTATGTGAAGTGACACAAAGGAACTTACAAAAATCCTGTTCAGTCACCATCATTCTTCTCTCCAAAGAGACATGCACTTATCTTGTATGTAGCTATCTACTTGGTAACCTATATTTTACTTTTATAGGGCTATAATAATATATCTAACTGGACTAATTGCTGCTTTAAAGTGAACCTGTCATGACAAGTACTCCTATACTGTTAATCGTCCTAAAGCAGCAAATCTATAATTTATCATAAAGATAAATTATATATGGATTGCTTTATGAACAGTTAATATATTGCATATATAATATTTCCAAGGGGGTGGAGGGGGGGGTGGTGCTGCAATGCTCAGATGCAGGTGGTTGTTAAACTACTGTAGCAGCCTCGGTTCCACCTTGCTCCCACCCCTTTGTAATGTGATGGAGTCTGGTTTAGGAAATATTCCCCTCACTCACACTGCCAATACTGGCTTCACTGCCAGAACATCAATGTTAAAATGGAGTGACATCAGTATTCATGGTCTTCAACTTAAACCGCCACCATAGTCTTTAGGTGAATGCTTATAGGGACATGCATTACTTTGAGACAGCTGTTTCAATATTTGAATGAAACATTTGCCTCACTCTGCAGGCTGAAAAAAAACAGTTAATTTTTCCTCCACTCCCATATTTACATTTGTCTTCTTTCTTATGCTTTCCACATCAACTCGGGGGGGGGGGTTGGGGGTGTGTATGCTGGAAGAGTGCAATAGGGGTGCCTGCCATAATGATGCCCTGTTTCTGTCATTTGTGGACTGGTCAGAAACTGAGATGGGTTGGGGGGATGGGGCTTAAGAAAATCCCCTTCCTGAGATGTGTGCCCAACAATGCAATCTAACAAAGTTTATAACCTTTTATTACATATTTTTCAAAGTGATTCTTATATATTTGTTTAGAAGTGTTTGCTTGCTGGGTTAAAAAAATAATTGTTGTGTGATGCATGTTCCCTTTAATAGCTTTTGCACTGTTTGCATTTATAACAAAGCTAGACTGTTGGTAAACAATACTGATTACAATAAACAGAAGAGAGGAAATGCTGGAGTAACCTGAGTATGTATTAGAACATGCTTTGGTTCTTGACTGCTATAGCTGAGGAATACAGTAACTAACTGATCGCACCAATAATGAGTTTGGCAGGTCCTCACTGCAATGGGTTAAGCATTTTTCATCTTTTCTCCAGATGTTCTTCTCTATTATTTTTCAACTAATTGTTTACTTCTGTACTGTCCAGGTACCCAGTTCTTGTATTCCACCCATGCCTGGACCTTGTTAAGTGCTGTAGTGGAGCGAGCCTCAGGAAAGAAATTTGTGGACTACATGGTGCAGATGTTCAGGGAACTTGGTATGAAGAACACAGTGCCTGAGGAACATGAACCCATCATATACAACCGGGCAAGGTAATAGTGGCCACAGAGTTAAGTAAGAGCTGTGTATTTGTTTTTTCCCTTCAATAATAGACCCTCCTTATAGATATAATCTATGAGAAAGGACAAGGTATAAGGAAATAGTGAGACTTATTACCGATTCTTCACATAAAAACTGCAGGGAGGAAAATTAGGCTCATGCTTGGAGATAGGTCTCCATTATAAGAGAACAAGTTATAGTGTGAATACCAGAAATTCTCAGAAACTGTAAGCCTAAACACAGTCAGAAATACATCAACAGAGATTACTTACAAGTCTTGTCTTAACTAGATATATTCAAATAATACGCACCACACTTTAGGGCTGCTATGAACCTTGGGAGATCCGTTAGTGGCTTAGGTTTATATATCAATGTTATAGTATGGAATAAAAATTGTTCAGGCACTCCAAGATCCAGAAATGGCAAATTTATTGAAGCCCAAAGTGACACTATAATTGTCACTGGAACCTGTTGCTTGGTCCTGGTTTTGTTGCACCCTGGCTCAGATTGATGGGATTGAGTGCCGTTCCTATTGTCTATTGAAAATGATAAATATCAATGCTGTCTGAAGTAATTTCAGCTTTAAGTGCACATGTGGAGAAGATAGAGCTGTCATTGGCTGACTCCCTCACGAGAAGAGGCATGGAGAGAGTGCTCAGCATTGGTTGAGCTGCTGGTGTGGGACAGTCTGAGTGCTCAGATAGATAATCGATACATTAAATCCAGCCAGAAGCTAAATAGATAATGTTGTGTATACATACCAGGTGGAAGAAGTTCAATAGATATACTTTGTAGACATTTAAGAAGTCGACCTGGGCTCTGGAGTTAGTAGGGATGGTATTTCTGGTCTCTTGTTGGAGCACACTTATTGGCTCATAGTCACAGTGCAGACAAGTAATGTTACTTGTGTCTGCTTCCAAACTACGACGTGGCTATGAAATGTAAACTCAGCTGCCATTGTCAAGGCATACCACTTAAAGGGACTGTCTAGGCAATATAACTTAATTGAAGTGGTTATAGTAAATGGAGTGCCCTGGTGTCATCCCTCATCTCTCTGTTCAGTATTAGAGCAATTTTCGAATAATTTAATATTGAACAAGAGTTTCCTACCTCCTGCAGCTCTATCCCCATTAGAGATTTGGTGGAGGAGGTTACACTTTAACTTGGCCTTACCGATTGGGCAGCTATGGGATGTCAAGGATCCTCTTTCAATGTTAAACCATTTGAAAGCAGTTTAACAATGAAACGTATGCTGGTGCCAGGGGATTTAAGGGACACTAACCATGTAAATAAGATGAAGTGCTTACAGTGTCTCTTTAAGTAAGTTGAACATTAAAGTAACTCTCTCACCAATAAGTTTCTGTTTTGACCTTGTGAATTGTTTAATTTAAAATTACGTTTGACACCCATCTTGTATTAGGCCGATTACCTTTATGTTCTATTCCATACAAAATGTCCGACAGCGTTTAGTAACTAAGCATAATGAGGGGGGGCAATAACCTTCCCATGAAATGCACTTTGGAATGAATCTTGTTAATATAACATGTTGTATCTTGCAGTTTCTAACACAACACGCTATACACTACAGACAGAAGACTGGGGGATATGACATTAAGTATGTCATCACGCTCTGTGAGCATAGTTTAATGCTTGAGTGGGAACCTATCTGTAACTGCTGCTTTAACATAATTATGAATATCTCATTAGGAACGTCTCAGACCAGCCATGGCTCTCATATGGTGACTCCTGCTTTCTGTCACACAGTGCAACCAGTAGAAAAAATACATTTTAATGTATGGGAGATTAAGAGGGGCACATTTGTTTCAAGAGCTATACCTCTGTCTTTATGATCAAAACATGTATTAGATACACTAGTTAGTATATGACCTGCATGGGCACTAAAAAACAAATAAATTACAGGATGGAATATAAAGTGTGTATTGTATGTAAAGTTTGATTGGTTACTGCTATTCATTTCAATTAAAACAAACAAACATTAAAGTCACCCAGGCCACTTCATCTCAATGATTCTGAGGTACTGAGTAAAACTTGGTCATGTGGCATGATAGCCCCCATAGGAAAGCATTGATATAGTGCTTTCCTATGGGGAAGCTTGGATCCACACGCATGCCTCCTCCATAACGTTGTGTGAGAAAGAGCGGTAAGCATTAACACAGCATTTTAAATTTGGTTCTCTGCCAATAGTGCCTTAAAAACATAGGTACTTTTCTGTTAGACACACATCATTTGTTATCTACAGATTATTTACAACATGTCACAATCAAAAGAAATTCATGGACACCTCTAGAGCACATAAAAACATACAAAGAAATAATCGTTGTGCTCAAACTCCCACTATTTTTGGCGGCAGCAATGGCTATAGTATTCATCGGCCCAAATACACATGAGAAAGAAAAAAGTTAATCACGCAAATTCCTATGTACATTTGAATAACAGATGTATTTAAGCAATGGCCACTAAAGTGTTATCTCGCCTGTCCAATCAAGGCAAACCCTTTTAGGTGAGGCCTATGCTAATAAGTCACCTTACTACCTTGCCTCTAGAGCAGTGCTCCTCAGCCCTCTCTTCAAGACACACCTAACAGTCCAGGATTTAGGGATTACCCGGGTGTGTCCAAGGTGTTAAAGACAAAAAAAGTGTTTTTTAAGATACACACACCTGGGTAATCTCGAAATCCTGGACTGTTAGGTGTGTCTTGAGGAGACGGTTGAGGAGCACTGCTCTAGAGCACAGTTCTTAGTGTAAATCTGTTTGGAAAGGATGGTAAGACCAGATCTAATGCATTTGAGCTCCACTGAACTACAGCAGAGTCACACAGCCTACATAGAGAATGTTTGGGACAATTGTTAATCATCCCAGGAGTCTTGTCATTCCAAATTGTATAAAATAGTCCACAAAAAACTTGGAGAAATATTGCATGGGGCATTAGATGTTGCCGTATTTTCTCATCAATGAAGTATTACAATGTTATGTTTGCTCACTCAGGTTGCCTTGCTTTATATTGTGTTATGATTAAACATGTAATATTCATTGCTAAAATGTGCAGCGCTTCAATAGATCAGACAAGGGGCAAATACTTAAGCAGACATACAGCAGTCTGTTGATTCAGATGTTGGTGGGTGTGGGAATATGGGAATATGACAACTGGCCGACTGCAGGCCTCCGACATATGATCATAGAACAATGTCTGCATACTAGCTGTTCAAAGTACAATATACTGCACCTTCATCGACCGTAGCAAAACTAAAAGGCAAACAACTTTGCTAATAGAATGAACTGACCTTTTAATTCAATTTACTACTATTACTTCATCCATTTGAGTGAAGCCAGAGACTCGGAAAGGTCACAAAAAGAAAACAAACATACATTTCTGGGAAAGGAAACAACTGCCAGAAAATCCTTGAAATTCCATGCTTTGATATATGTGGGTACTTGAAGAGTTAATAACCGACTGGCATTTGTCACAATTCTGCAACTGTCTTCATGTGTTATCCCACCCTTCTGGAAATTCAAAGCTAATTTATAGATTATTTCCTGTATTGCAGATCTTTTCTACGTCCCTTTTTAAGTATGCAGCCTCAGTGTTATTAAACCTCAAACAGTAGCCCAGAACATAATTGCTTGCAGCTTCAAAGGACAAACTATAGTCCTTTAGTTTCCCCCACACCCACCTTAAGTGATTAATTTAAATATATATATTTTTTTTCTTCGTAAATTATACTGTTTCCAGAATGACCAGCCACTGCAAACAGAGTTAGAAGCTGATTTTATGGGTTTAATTCAGTAAATGGGAAAGTACAAATTTTAGACCAAAATCAATAAGTAATTTTCTCAACTCCATCAATTAATTGTAAAATTATATGTAATTCCGAGTTTAGTTAATGTTGTAGTGGGTGTGAGATCGTATGATGTGATATAATTAGACATATATAGTTTGAATAGAGATTACACATGCCATAATTTCAAGGCTCAAGTACAATTCTGTAAAATCTGTGAAATGTAAAAATTACTGTCAGGAACACAAACACATATTCCTAACCCTATAGTGTTAAACCACTATTTAGGTGGCTTGCCTCCCCCTAACCCTTGGTTTGGCCAGTCAGTAATTCCTCATAGAGAAACATTGAATCAATGCATCTCTGAGAAAAATTCAGCGTTTCCATGCAGAGTGTGAAGACACTGAACAGCAGCACTGCCCCAGGAAGCACCTCCAGTGGTGCCTGGCAAAATTGTGTTCCTTATAATGGGACAGGAGCATCAGGACACTCTTGGCACCATAACTACTACGGAAAGCTGTTGTTGTTTTGGTGCTGCCATTGTTCCTTTAACCCCTTAAGGACGGCGGGCGTTCTACGCCGTCCTTTTTGGGGGGTCCTAAACGCTGGCGGGCGGCATAGAACGTCCCCGCTGTCCTTTGTACTTACTGGCTCCCCACCGTTTCCCCAAAGGCGGTCACAATCCTGGGGTCTGCCTTGGAGCTCAGGCAGACCCCCTCTGCCCTATCCGGACCCCCCTGGCCATGTGATCGCGGGGTTCTTGCGATCACATGGCAGGAATAGCCGGCTTATGCAGTGCCTACAGGGCGCCTGCCTGAGTTCTCAGGCAGTCCTCCTAATGCCTGCAAAAAAGTTTAGAAAGTTAACAAAAGTTAATAAAAAGTTTATTAAAGTAAATAAAAGTACTTGGAATATATAAGAAAACTGAGATGCTTGCTTTCCTGGATTAGAGAGTAATTGCCCGGTGCTGGTCAGGCACAAGATACAAAAATTTTTGGGGAAATGACCACACTCCAAGGACTTGTTGAGAGTAAAAATAAAATATAACTTTTATTCTATATCATACAAAAAAATATCGACGTTTCAGCCCCAATACATGGGCTTTCATCAGGATGGCAATACTACGGTAAAATCTGAATAAAATAAATAAAATATAGAATAAAAGTTATATTTTATTTTTACTATCAACAAGTCCTTGGAGTGCGGTCATTTCCAATCATTTTTATGTATCTTGTGCCTGACCAGCACTGGGCAATTACTCTCTAATCCAGGAGTGCAAGCATCTCAGTATATATATATATTCCAATATGATCATATATATACTTTTATATGCACAAACACATACACTTTTATTAATGGTTTATGTATTTAAATATTATATTATTATTAAAATACATGTAGAATTATGTTAAATATATATATGTGTAAAAAATCAATAAATACATTGAAAAAATTAATTTAAAAAAAAATATACACCAGTTTTAATTTGTTCTAACTGTATTTTGACATTAATATACATGTATATTAAATTCAAAATATATTTATATAATATTATTACATAATAAAGTAATTTTATTAAGTAAAATTTGAGGGACCTGCCCGACAACCCAGACTGAAAGTTCAGAGAATTTAGCTTGCATGCTCTATATTTAACCCTGTAACTTTCCAGGACGCCATAAAACCTGTACATGGGGGGTACTCTTTTACTCAGGAGACTCCGCTGAACACAAATATTAGTGTTTCAAAACAGTAAAACATTTCACAATGATGATATCGTCAGTAAAAATGCAGTTTTTTAAACTTTTCACACACAAACGGTACTTCCACTGTCAATATAATTGTGATATGTTTTACTATTTTGAAACACTAATATTGGTGTTCAGCGAAGTCTCCCGAGTATAACCGTACCCCCCATGTACCAGTTTTATGGTGTTTTAAAAAAGTTACTGAGTCAAATATAAGGCTTGGGTCTCCTTTTTTCACATTGAAATTTGCCAAACTGGTTATGTTGCTTTTGAGACCCTATGGTGCCCAGGAATGAGAATTACCCTCATGATGGCATACCATTTGCAAAAGTAGATAACCCAAGGTCTTACAAATGGGGTATGTCCAGTCTTTTTTAGTAACCACTTAGACACAAACACTGGCCAAAATTAGCATTCAATTTAGTTTTTTGCATCTTCCACAAACAAACAAATATGAACGCTAACTTTGGCCCAGTCCTTAAGGGGTTAAAAAGAATACTGGATGGATTCTGGGATTCATACTTGGTTAATGATGGATATACAAGATGTCATAAAGTGTCTGGCTGCCAGCATAATTTAAGAAGAAGTAAAGGAGGTATTTTCCTAATTCTATAGAAGTTGTACAGAAGACCAACAAAGTCAGATAAGGTGCAGATTTGCAATGCTCCTAGCACCATATGTGCCATTATTATGGACAAACAATCACCTTACAGAAACACTAAAGTGTCAGGAATACAAATGGTGCTCTAGTCACTGTTTTGGCGAAGAGGCCACTGTTGCAAAGGTTTAAAAAGTGACTTTACTTACCTTTTCTCCCCCAGAGCACTGGTCGCTGGTGTTCCACTCCACTTCTTTCTCTGAGATCATTGCGATCGATGATGTCCAATGCACTGGGAGACTAGTGCACATGCACAGCAAAACGCATGGTTTCTCTGAGACTGTGATAGAAAAAGAAGCCACAGGCACTAAGCACTGTGGCATATATGTATGGTGGCAATGAAGGAGTTAATCTGTTTTGTCTGGGATTTGAATGTGAGGAATTTTAAATCTTGTGGCAGTTGGTCAGTTAGACAGGTATCTGGGCAGAATTGATGACGCAGCTGTTTTTGGGGGCTGGAGCTGGCATGGGATTGGTTTAAAGTTGCAAGCAGAAAAAGAGCGGGAAACTGGAACAGTATAAAAAGAAGCAGCACAAGTTTAATCCTGTCAGAGTGGACTGAAGCAGGATTGGTGCGGACGGACCCCACCCCCCTCTCTTTACTTTTATTTAATTGTATTGTTGTGGTGCTATGAAGCATTGGGGTAAAAGTCATCCTCAGGGTCAAGTTCTGAGGAAGGATATGGTGGTAAATGGTTTTAAGTAAAACGCGGTCTGGTTAGTTATGACTGACTGGCTATTTGGTGCTAATAAAGTTAAAAGTTTTGAAAGGTGGTGAACCATATGTTATATGGTTATGGTTACAAAGTTATGATTGTATGCCCCTTGAGCTTTGAATAAACACCACGGCCATGCCCAGTGAAAAGTAATTAAACATTGTCTGTGGTTATTGTGTGGTCTTGTTTTATTTATACGAATATTGCCCACCGTACATATAGCAGAGGTTAACTATTGCATTAGAGGCACTAAAACTCTGCAGTGAAAACATTGCCGTTCTGCAGCTGCAGGGGTAAATGGAGAAAACATGGCACCCAGAGCACTTCATCTCAATGAAGTGGTCTGGGTGCCTGCAGCATCCATTTAAATGCAATTGTTATTCTAAAACCCAATACAATCCAGAGATAAAATAATACATCTAATAACATATTTTGTACGTGGTTACACTGCATTTAATAAATAGAATGTCACAATATAACTCAAAATGTACAATTGTATGCTTTACTGTTGAGGGGATTCCTTTACTTGGTAAAAGTATGCTGGCAGCCACCCACCTCATGATGTATCTCCATCACCACCATTTAAATCCGTAAGAATCTAGGAATCTCTCCAGACTGATAAAAGTTTATCCGATGTTAAGATGATGGTGGAACCACACTGCTTACCTATGTGGGTGACCTTGTGTGAGCAATAGGTTTAACAGCCCTATTTCCAGAGTGAAGTGCACTCAAGGATTTAATTGATTAATTATTTTTCCATTTATAAAGGTGATTCATTGATTTATAGCTAGCCTGAAATAATAGAAGAGTTGTTTAGCCACCTTATCGAGAACGATCACCGGTGCATTTTCTGCATTGAGCAATGGAAACACAGCATGTGCGTGACTGTGTATGGGTGCGTTAGAAGATACACAAAAGTAAATCCTGTAATATGGGAGAAGAATACCATTGAGGGGCTCTGGAGACATAATAGATCAAAGTATGAATTTCTCAGGAACTCCAAGATGGTATTCATTTTCCTAAATATACTATTCACTGTTGCGTATCTTTTATATTACATGATTTTTGGGGGGTAAGATTAGTGTTGGGGTTGGCCCTATGGTTCCTTTAATCTTAGGATAGACTGGTTACACTCTGGTGCATTGATATCCATCTTTATTTTTAACTTTTTGACTTTTTTAAATAATAAACTGGTTGTTTTGATCCCAGTTTGTTCTTCTTCTTATTATTTTTGTGGATCTAGCGATATATTATTTACATTGCCTTTAGCAACCAGTTCCATATACTGGTATGCTTGATTCTAAGTGGACTTCTGTATTTTCTTTTATTCTTATAGAAGTATATCATTTTGGCATTGGTATCACCTACCCTGTATTGTTTCCTCCAATCAGGGATTAGGATACCTATATCATATATATTGCAGTTGGTCACTTTAAGAGTATCTACCATATTATTACACTGTGTGTGAAAGTGTATACCTGAGATTCCATTGTCTACATAGCTCCTGGATACTTTGCACTATACTATATGGTGCCATTCCTATTGCTTTTATAGGATTTGGTGAAATTCCTATACCCATCCAATTAGAGCTTATTCCGTTTGTCTAACTCCCCCTTCTCTCTGTATATTCAAAGCCTTTTGGATATCAGAAAAAAACTTTGCTTTTATATTACATGATTGTAAAGGGTAAGATTAGTGTTGGGATTGGCCCTAGGGTTCCTTTAATCTTCGGGTATCGACTGGACATGCTGCCTGTGATTAATGATTGTTATAATACACTGTGCAGCAGTGTCTGCATTTCACAGTTCTCTTTATTAAATCAGCCCTCCTCCAGTAGTTTTAGCCCAGTAGTGAATTTATTTGGGAAATCAGAATTACACTCTTCAGCAAGCCTATTGGTATCATTGTCTGGTGCGGCTAGTAATATTTAATTTCTCCTTTTTCTTTTTTGTTATTTTACTGTATAATTGTATGCCTGAAAAACAAACTTTATTCCGGAAGAAATCATTAACCAACAAATAAATAACTTAATAAGAGAGAGAGAACCTGGAAATAAATGACTGCAATCGAACAGTTCTGAATTTGCTAGTGTACCAGGAAAATTCCTGGATTGAGTACACATCAGGAGTCAGAAAGACACGATTCCTAAAATTATTATTCTTGGCATCCAGTATTTTTACATTTCTGTGGCTCTATCTAAATGTTCTCCTTTGCGGGCTCCGAAATATGCCTTATTTTATTCCATATTTTGGCCACTTATGGTCTACAGACAAGACCTCCTCTATAGAATGAAAAGTAATGACCAGTTTTGCAATCAAAATGTGAAATTTGTGTAATTATAATTATTTATTTAATTTAATAGATTTGTCTCAGTAAATAGATTAATATTTTTTTTTACACCTGTTAAAAAATATTGTATGCAGTAGGTACATTTCCATCTTTTCGTGTTGTGTCTAACCATTTGGCCCATGATGTCTCCAAGTCCCAAAGAGTATAGCGCAAGTGCATCATTAGACATACTCTTGTTGTGCAAAGGGCATTCAGGGCAATGAACACGTTATAGCATGTCAACAATGCTTTATACAGGAAAAGACCTTTGTGGAGCCAGTCAGCGTGCCTTCCAAGACTGTATGCCAAGCTGACACCCCATTTTACGGCTGGACCTACCCCCGACGGTGTTACCATTGATGCTGGTACACCACCCTGCATTTATACCTATTATTTTTCTTTTTTTCCCAAAGTGGAAAATAGATAAATATATATTTTTATTATAGTCTCAAAAATAAATATATAATTTTTAAAAAATATTCTTTTTGAGGCACGAGATGCGTACATAGCACTCCAAATTAGATCTAACACTAATTTTTTTTTATACACTACACTACTGTTCAGCGATATCTAAAATGTAAACAAGGTACATTTTCAGAATTTTTCTGAAAAAAATAAATAAATTAGATCAGGAATTGGAATTGAGATACAGTATTCATTGTCTTGTAATTATATAGACGTTATGAAAAAAGTGTGACAGGGCAATTGTTAATTTTAAAATGTACAGTGTGTGCAAACACTAAAAACTGAAATAAATGTGTCATGTAAACATTTTGCATGGATATTTATTTTCAATGATGATGGTTTATTTCGTTTTTGAGGCTTGAAGTGAAATACAACACTTTAAAGAAACAAATTTCCAACGTGTCGTGACATGTCAATTATTACTAGAAAACAACAATCTATAGTATGCACATGTCCCCATGACCACCTCCCAACTTCATTGCATTTACCAACTGTTTGGTCACATGAACTGCAAGGAGGGAAGCCATGCGGGGAAGGTAGCAGGAAAAGAGAGAAAGATACAGAAGTGGGACAAGGAGGTGAGGGGAAAAAGAAACTTGGTGATAATACAGAAAATTAAGGCCAGAGATCTTTAGAGAAGATGTCTGTCCCAGGGCAGAATGTTTTCAGGAAAGAATTATGACTGCTGTTATTTTGAGGAATGCAAATTCCCAAAGTGCCTGCGTAACGTATAATATACATTATCTTTGTGAAATAATATCAATATACAGTAAACAATGTTGCCTGGCTGAACTCAAATATTCACTTCCTGGTTTGTCCCCAATCCTCCACCTTCTATCGAGAGGGTGTGTGAAATCAAGATATAAATATATAAAAGAAACCAAGGGGAAGTGATTCCTCTTGGATATATAGGAAGGAAAAGTTATGGTCTAAAGAAAAGGGGGGATATCCACTAAACAACTGGTAAAACAACCCACACCCTAGGTTGAATAGATAGACAATACAAGATAAAAAGCAAAGAGAAAACAACCTAATTGCTCAAACCAGGAGTGGATACCAACACCCAAAGAATGCTAAATATATATAAAAAAGTGAATAGAAAGGTGAACTGGTAACATACACAGTATCACTGCACAGTAAGCAAATAGAAACAGACCTAGGTCACAATTGATTAAATGTATCGCAATAAATGAATAAATGTACACTGTATCAGTGCAAAAAATATCCTTTCAATGTAAGCTCATATAAATAAAATCTGGCTGGTATACCCTCTATATGAACAGCAGGGGAACTGGCCAATATGAGCTAAATATGCTCTAGTAACAAACTAGTATAACAATCAATGTTAGTATGGTACATAAAAGAAAAAAAAGGGAGTATTGCAAATGTAGAAATATGGGATCACCAGTTCTACATCTATTATCATTAATAGATCCTGGAATATTATCTTCTAATGTCAGTCATTGAACTGTGCAATATATAGTTCAGAGGCAGAGAATTCTTCTTATAAAAAGACTTTATTATATGTGTATAAAATATAAAATAAGCAATTGCTCACAGATAGCATTAAAAAGGGAACCTTCCTTTGGTGTCTTCCTCCCAGCAGTCTGGATACTCTAAAAATGCTGTCTCATCAGAGCCGGCTTCAGAGGCAACTTCAGAGTCCTTGTTGACAAAAGCTCATCAGGGAGATCCACCATGTGTGAAGAGATGCAGCCTTACGCGTTTTGTGACGTCATCAGAGTGATGGATATTTTTTGGACTGATCACCAAACTACAATGTCTGTTTATTACTTGAACTAAGACTGTGGACAATCTTTATTTGCACTGATACAGTGTATATTCATTCATTTATTGAGATACATTTAATCAATTGTGACCTAGGTCTGTTTCTATTTGCTTACTGTGCAGTGATACTGTGTATGTTACCAGTTCACCTTTCTATTCACTTTTTTATATATATTTAGCGTTCTTTGGGTGTTGGTATCCACTCCTGGTTTGAGCAATTAGGTTGTTTTCTCTTTGCTTTTTATCTTGTATTGTCTATCGAGAGGGTGACTGACAGAGAATTTCGTTTCAACTGTGGGTGCCATTTGTGGTATTTCGTTTTGGAGCATAATGGGAACAGTACGTGTGGGTATGTGATATAAAAGCCATCTTGTTTGTTCAAGGGGTTTATCAGACACAGAGACTTTAAAAAAATTTTTTTTAAAAATAATCTTCATTTTCTGCCCTCCTTTTTAAAATGTTCTTTTAGTTATTAAGCCATGCAATAACAACATTTAAATAATTGAAGTGACATGTCTGTGTGGGTCACTCATTGTACATTAAATGGAAAACGTAGAGTATAATTAAGTAAACACTTTATTACTAAAAGAGGTCACATGGTGAATTCTTCGCAAACCCATTATTTCCGCAGCATGCAAGCAGCCATTATATTCATGTGACCAGTTTTACTTACTACAGTCTAGCTTGTTCGAACTGACCATGCTGTAAGGTAGATAATAGAAGTGGGGAACCAATGTGCCAATCATGATATTCAATAACTATCCTAGCCCAGCCTGCAAGTCTTTGTTTATGTCATATTCATATAGATTGATGCATTCTCAACTTATCCTACCCAATCAGAAATTAAGCTATTAAAGCTCTATATGATAGAGCAAAGACCATTTCAGAAAATATAGATGGCTAGATGCAAAACCTGTGTTTTCCAGATCAAATAGACGAGTATTTAATGGAGTGGGACAGTCTCTATTTGGGGTTCCCATGACACGTGTCCCAGGGTGGTTCCTATACAAGTGCCCCCATGTAGTCTCTGCACTCCCTGTCCTGCCTTCATACCTCCTAGTGTCGGGGAGGGGTATGGAAATAAACCTCAGTTGAAAAAAAATAATACATGTAATATATATCTACCGGTAAGTAAATTTAAGCATGGATTATGCAGTGGTATTTGGCAAGTCAGGTGTATGGAAACACTTAAAGGACCACTATAGTGCCCTGAGGGTGCCCCCACCCTCAGGGACCCCCTCCCGCCGGGCTCTGGAGAGAGGAAGGGGTTAAACACTTACCTTTCTCCAGCGCCGGGCAGCTGTACTCCTCCTCTCCTCCTTGCTCGCGACGTCATCGGCTGAATGCGCATGCACAGCAGGAGCCGCGCGCGCATTCAGCCGGTCGCATAGGAAAGCATTTACAATGCTTTCCTATGGGCGCTTGCGTGCTCTCACTGTGATTTTTCACAGTGAGAAGCACGCAAGCGCCTCTAGCGGCTGTCAATGAGACAGCCACTAGAGGCTCTGGAGGCTGGATTAACCCTCAGTATAAACATAGCAGTTTCTCTGAAACTGCTATGTTTATAAAAAAAAAAAAAGGGTTAGTCCTAGAGGTACCTGGCACCCAGACCACTTCATAAAGCTGAAGTGGTCTGGGTGCCTAGAGTGGTCCTTTAAGGCAACTTTCTCAGGCAATCACAAGTGAAGTGTGCATGTGCTGAGTAGACTTTTTATTGTGTACAGGTGCAGTTACTATGGCAATGAATTTAAAATTGTGCTTCTTTTTTTCATGTCCAAGTTTCAAATTAGTAAATTCTAGCCAGCCAGCAAGAGTCCTTACACGTTTATCAGGGCTATTTACTAAAGAGAGAAATCAAAGTGAATTTAAAATTTAAGGTCAAAGTAGCTGAAGTTGAAAAGGTTTCCAAGTCCGCTATGCTTCCAGGTTGGTCACTTTGGCATTAAACGAAAACTCAAGCATTAGGAATACAAATGTGTGTTCCTAAAGCTATAATGCCCTAGTCACAGTTTAGGTAACAGACCTCCCCCTGAGGGTTAAAGTTAACTCTTTAAGAGTTAACTTACTTTGCATTTCACGCCACGGTGCTCAGTATGACAGATGCTATAGGCAGGTTATATGGGGACATTAGTATTAAAGGAACACTATAGGCACTCAGACCACTTCATCTATTTGAAGTGGTCTAGGTGCAGTGTCCCTGTTCCTTTAAACAACCATCAGAGGCACTTCCTGCATCTGTGAAATTATGCTGGGCGTACTAACGCTGTGCATGAGGACTTCAAACGTGTTGAATATCACATGGAAAAGCATAAAGTTGCCACTGTCTGCTGCTGATGTTGGAGGAGGAGTCCAACACCGCACCGAGGGACCTCTGAGCTGGACCAGGTAAGTGTTTAAAGGGTTAATTTACCCTTTATCGATGGGTGAGTGGAGGGGGTGGCACTAGGACAGAGGGATAATATATGCCCCGTTTCCACTGAGCGGTACGGTACGGTCTGGTACGCTATTTTGAGTGTTTCCATTATGAAAGTGGCCCATACAACCAAACCAAAACATTCCTGGGCCCCCTTCAGATGTAGGTCCATATGAAATGGTACGGTACAGTTACGGCAAAGTTAGTGGCGTCACACTATACAATCCATTGATTGGCGGACAGGAAAACATCACTGCTCACGACAAATGACAGGCTAGGCATTTGGTCTAAACCCTGCATGCCCCCCGGTGGTCCTACTTGCACAGGAAACGCTCACCTGAAAAGGCTGGACCATTCTAACCCTTCCAAACGGTACCGACCCAAACCATAGCGCTCAGTGGAAACGAGGCAAGAGTGTTCCGAATACAAAGCTGTAGTCCGAACACTATAGTTTGCCTTTAATATAGGGACATTGGGATTAAAAAATTTGGCTTCAATGAGGGGATTTCTCTCCTAAAGAGCTAGTTAGATGTATGCACAGTGTGTCGTCAGATTAGTAAAGAGTGCTTTAAAGTGTAAATAGCAATGACTGCAAATAGATTTTAGGGCTGAAATAGCAATAGGGAGACTTTGAACAGTGTAATAACTCTTTGTATGAAAACAAATATCTTTTACATTTTATTTTCTTTGTATAGAATGTTTACTCTCCTCTGTCAGATTACCACAGATTTGTACATACCTATAACTAATTAGTATGCCATTCCCTGTCCTGCTGACAGACCGGTTAGTAAAGTTGGTGATATTAGGGTGCTCATTAGAATTTGCAGGAAGCCTACAGAACATTCTGAGAAATTTCACATCCGCTCATTCCTAAGATGGAGCAGATTCCAGGCACACCTGGTATTATCAAATTCCAATCCACTCAGACTGTGATCAGGTCACATAAAACTTCCACAACTCACAAGAAAGCAATCCACACCCCAGGGCATTTAAGTGAATGTAGAAACTTTCAGCATAAAAGAATGTATAGAGAAGCGGTCAAGAAACCACAAAAAAACCTACACAATATTTAATTTCTTTCAGACGGAACAATAAATGTGTCCTAACATGACCCATGTAAGGGGCACTCTACAAACCATAACCGCTGCAGCTCATTGTAGAGATGTGGTGTCAAAAGACATTTCTCTACTGCTTCCCCAGATAGTGTCAAGCTGATTGACAAAAACTGAGGTTCTCCTGTCACATGTATTGTAGGTGCTATGAAGGGGAGCAGAAGAACCAGGTGTGGGAGGTGGTCAGTTAATTCTCGACATATCCTTGTATAACAAGGAACTGATTAAGTGAGCAGAGAGACCGTATTTTTTATTTTCTTCATAAAATCTATACCTTTGTTAGTATTTCTACTAGGATTATGTATACATTATTATTTTACTTTAGAGCACAAGTTATTGTACCCTTGACAGATACACTTTAATCATGCTCACATGTGGAACAGAAACTGGGAAGCCAGTGCTTAATTTTGATCTTGTCTAGTAGGAGAGGCTGACGTGATACACTTACTCTGTGTGTTTACTCTGGCTGAGAATTAATGTTGGGAGTTCTATACCAAAAACGAGAATTATAGAACATTTGCGCCAGTTTGGTAATGCCATAATGTGCTTAAAACAAAATAAATCCATATAAAAGCGATAAAAACGAAATAGTTTTATTAGAATAGTTACTATACAAGGATCCAGCAGCGGAAGAGTTAACCAGTGTGGCTAAACATGCCTTCCTTTATCTATAGACAAATTGAAATTTTGGATAGTTTTGCCCCCTGGTGGCAGCTTTGTGGATAGCTTCCCAGATGCTGAACGACTGGTAATCAAAAAAAAAGGCTACCTAGTAGCAAGATAGTGACAAGCCCTTCAAGTCACAAACAATGTAATATATAATATTTTTCCAGGAAGTGGAATTTTTAAATTTTATTTTTTGTAGAACAAACAAACCCATGTGTTTGACATCAGCAGACATGAAATAGAATCTCTACTCTTACTGTACAAATTTAAGTAAAACATTTTGATTGGAAGAGGCATTAGAATAAAGAAAGTGTTAAAGTTACTTCTATAACATCCCACCAACAAGAACAATCGTGATAGTATGTTATTTCAGGTTAAATACTGAGCATCCATAGTTAGCTTGTGAGACACAGACTGATTTTCTAATTTGTTAAGATCCAGGATTACATACTTTTTAACAGTTGTGACCCAGGGCTAGTGTTTGGGATGTGTGACCTATGTCAACGCACCTGCACCAACATAGCCTGCTCTTAGGAGATTCCTGGTATGACATGTGACACGACTCGGGACTAGTGTGTGACTTACTGCTGACTTCTTGACCTATTAATAATCAGGCAACTAAGAAAGTAATTCACAAGACCAAAGTAAGACTCATTTCTAAAAAAAACATTTATTGTATTTTGAAGACAGAAGAATATGGCATTTGGAAGATATGCAGTGAATGAATGTAAGCATTTAAAAGTCACTGAAGTTATAGGCGCAGGAGTTTCCGGATACTGTCTTATCTTCTTACCTTCCTTAATATTCGAGTAGACGGTAAGGAAAGAGAAGGGGGTGTATTTGTTATTAAGGAGAAAATGTAATGGAGTAAATCTAGAGGGATATCAATTATACCTCATTGACAAGGTCCAAAGAAGGCCAACATGTTTGTCTTAAGTTGCTTTTATCATTCATACATAGAAATCTTGCCAGCATTTTAAATATGTAAAAAGGGAGAAATGGGGGCACACTCGGAACATGCATTTCTCAGATGTGGTGGTAAAGACCAAAATCTATGGAAAATACAGATTAAAGGACCACTCTAGGCACCCAGACCACTTCAGCTTAATGAAGTGGTCTGGGTGCCAGGTCCAGCTAGGATTAACCCATTTTTTAAATAAACATAGCAGTTTCAGAGAAAATTCTATGTTTACAAATGGGTTAATCCTCCCTCCAATTCCTCTAGCGGCTGTCTTATTGACAGCCGCTAGAGGCGCTTGCGTGATTCTCACTGCGAAAATCACAGTGAGAGCATAAAAGCGTCCATAGGAAAGCATTGCCGCGCGTGCGCATTCAGCCGAATGGGAGGAGAGGAGGAGGATCGGAGGAGGAGAGCTCCCCGCTGGAAAAAGGAACGTTTTTATCCCTTTCTTCTCCCCAGAGCCGGGCGGGAGGGGGACCCTGAGGGTGGGGGCACTCTCAGTGCACTATAGTGCCAGGAAAAAAAGAGTATGTTTTCCTGGCACTATAGTGGTCCTTTAAGGAACAGCGCACACACAAGATATAATATAGCTTTAAATTTTACAAGGCCACCATATGGCCATGTCTTGTGACGCCCACCACTATGTAACAGTACCCCAAAATCGGTGGGTCCTACACTAATAATAACATGGGAGATAAACATGCTAACTGCAATGCTTACTGCGTAAAATGGTTTCCAGAGATTCTCCTCAAATTTCTGTTACTGTGAAGTCGTGGTGGGCTTAACACAATATGGTGTTGCTGAATCCTCATAATTGTTTGCTAAGATAGGTGATTTTAAGAAGCCTTATAAAATGTAACACTGTATTTTTGTTGTGTGTGCTACTCCTTAATTTATAGCACCAAAAACAAACTTGAACCAGAGGTGTACAGCAGTAGTGGAAATATAATATATATAAAAAATACAAAACCTTAAACACTTCTTGTTCCCTTAATCTGTATTTTGAATAGCATATATTGCCATTGTATGTAGGATGAGTTTGATATGTGACAGGCCTAGGTTTTATCGGTAACATGAGCAAAATCTTGTTTGAGAACTAAGCATGGACTCACCAAAGGCAAACTATGCAGTTTTTACACATTCTCCAATCTTTTGTCAGAACAAATGGTCAAACTCACTTAAAGGGTCACTATAGTCACAAGAACCACTACAGCTTCATGTAGTGGTTCTGGTGTCTATCGCTTGTCCCTGGAGTCTTTTTAATGTAAACGTTGCCTTTTACATTGGTGCCTCGTAACACCTGTAGAGGTGTCTCCACGCTCTCCATGGAGAAGCTTAACATTCCCCATTGAGTCGAGGAGATTCGGTTGGAAAACACTGGATTAGCTGACATCATAAAGTTTGGCGAACTCACCCATGAATGCGGGGCCAGCTGAGGCGAGACAGGAACGGTCTGAGGGAAAAAGGTAGGTTTAAAACCTTTTCAAAGCAATCTCAGGGGGAGCTAAATAGTTTCACACTATAGTGTTAGAAATACGTTTGTATTCCTAACACTATAGTGTCCCTTTAAGTAAAATATAGGATGCTATATACATGTTATTTTTCTTTGTTCCTCAACCGTTTTACAGATTTTTGGTCTACCAGAATAGATTTTGCTGTTAGTAGTTGTTTGTGCCTCATTAATACGGTCGTAGTCGTGTATGCCATTTTAGAGTACACTGCACTATTCATAAATATCTAATTATTATTTATTTATTTTTAAAGTCATATGTAGTTCAAGTCATCATATTGTTCTAAATCTAGGTTGGGAAATGTCTATTCAAACATGTGATGTTAAATGTGTTCTCTTCATTGTCTCTTACAGGTTTTACAATTTCAATAAAAAGAAGCGTCTGGTGAACACTCCGTACGTGGACAATTCATGCAAATGGGCAGGTGGTGGTTTCCTGTCCACAGTGAGCGACCTCCTCACCTTTGGAAACGTTCTCTTGTATAGTTACCAAGCTAAGGCCAATTCTCAGATACTGCCCGGATACCTCAAATCAGACACCATCTCTATGGTTTGGAGACAGGTGCCGAACACTGAAATGTCCTGGGACAAAGAAGGCAAATACGCAATGGGCTGGGGGGTTGTGGAAAGGAAGCTGGATTTTGGTCAGTGTAAGCACCAGAGGCATTATGTGTCCCATACAGGAGGAGCAGTAGGGGCCAGTAGTGTTTTACTAATCCTACCCGAAGAAGATGATCATAGTAGATTCAGTAATCTGGAGGAAAGACCACCAAAAGGGGTGGTAGTTACTATAGTAGCCAACATGCAAGGTACTGGTCTCAACAGCACAGCACTGAAAATCGCATTGGAGTTTGAGAAAGACAAGATGAAAAGCTCCTAAGATCATACATATAAAATGCTAGTAGAACATGGGTGATCACAAGGCAGAACCCAGCTTTTGCAAAACTACAACTCTCACGTTGCATTACCAGCTGTAAGGATGACAAAACATTATGTGAGCTGTAGTTTAGCAAAGGTGGGGATTTACTTCCTGGATGCCACTTGTGCCAACTTATTTTATTCAGCCATAATGATTAATTCATTGAAGGGGTTAATGTACCGTGCAATACAAATGTGATTTTCAACTGATTATGGTTTAAAATGTAATGAAACATGATGCGATCCCAAGTCATTCATTAGTAGCTCCAACAGTAATAGTATTACAGTAGTCTTTGTCCACCAATCCAATGATTGGTATTCCTTCCTTGTGCGGCCATCAATCTTTGTTATGGGCAATGAGATGTTTGGTTTCAGGCACTCTGAACAGCGCAAAGGAGGTACTTACACAGCTGTATAACTACGCACAGATGATATGCTTTGTTAATTACATAATCGGTGAAACGGTATGAAAAAAAAAAAAAAAAGCTAAAATTGTTTCAACATCAACCTTTGTTAGATCTTTTGCTGATTCAGAGGAAAGTTAAGTGTTAATAGATTAACCTTTGCTAACTGCAGTTTAACAGCTATATATTTAAGATATCAATAGAATTGACATTTACAGCTTTTAAAATATAACAAAGGAATTCTTTTAGTATGAAAGATTACACATTATATATATATATATATATAAATAAATAAAAAAAATATATAAGAGTTTATCCCTAAATCCACATTGAGCAGAAGCACTCATCCAACCAGAGCCTATACAGCAGGGGTCCTCAACCTCAAACTCCAGCCCCCCAGATGTTGCTGAACTACAACTCCCATGATTCTCTGGCTATCTATGTAATTCAAAGAATCATGGGAGTTGTAGTTCAGCAACATCTAGGGGGCCGGAGTTTAAGGACCCCTGCTATACAGGTACCAAGTTAAAGTTCAGGAGCACAGAGCACTGACACCATACACAAGCTGTAGGTATCTTAAGTGTGCTCAGAGGTAGTTTCAGGCAATTAAAAATGTGTATGCTCAGCTGTCAGCTAAATAGTGCTTCCAACAACAGAGGGCTTAAAGATGGCTGCACAGAGGAAATGGAAGTAGCAAGACACACTAAAAAGTGGTATTTGCCACATTACCAAATTCATTATGTGTCCCATATATGAGGAGCTGTGGGGCCACAGCATTTAACGTATATTGCCTAAAGATTTAGATCATGGTCTAATCAACAACCAAATGGCTACCTAGAAATAGGGAGTGATAGTTACTAAAATAGCTAAGGTAGTATAATCTTTCATATATATTGAAAAAAAAAAAGTGCTTTTCTTTTCAATGTGTAAATCGTTTTAAATGTGCCCATCCCATTGGCATAACACTATTGAATTTCAACACAGAAGAGACAAATCTCATAAGATATTAATGTCCAGAATTCATCTCTGCTTTCATGATGCCTAAAGCAGAGCCCATCCACATGAAGATTATTAACTAACAGAATGTGTGACAAATCGAAAATGGCTGCTCTCACTGATAAAGTGCTACAGAATCTGTTGGCGCTATATAAATGGCAATAATAATAATAATAATAAACAAAAAGTTTAAGTGGGATTTTAAAATGTAGCCATCGATCATAAAGATCTTGGAACACCATTAAATAATTTTAGCGAGTGTACAGTGTTGCAAATTACAGGTTGTAAAATTACAGACATTCCTGGAGACTATTCAATGATGTTCTATATTTTAAGGGGAAAGAAATTTTATAAAAAATTGTTTTTCCATAATCCGCTGATGTATACATTTTGCATATTTAAGTTTTTCATAAATCTCTTCAAAAGAACTTTAAAAACTGCATTGGAGTTACAATCACAAAATATTCTAGAGATAAAATTGGGAATAGTTTGTGTGATTGAAATAAAGCTTTTTAGGCAAAATGTGTCAATACGCGAACATTCAAGCACCTTCTGCTCCCATATCTTAGAATTTCCCATCAGCCATAGCAAGCAATGGTAGGAATATTCATTCATGCACAATATATACTCATAGCTTATCATTTAACATTCTTGGGATCAGCTGTAGATTGTCCATAGAAACCGGATAAGCACAATATTCTTATTCTTAGTATCACGCTTCATATGTCACACTTTGTTTTAATCCTACTAACCAAACTACCCTACTGGAAAAGGAATGCAAATGGTTCTTGCAAATCTTAGGTCAAAATATCTGAATTTGGAATCCCCTGTTAATTTCTATAGAATTTTAATTATGGTGGATATCAGTGTATATTAATTATCAAGCAGAAAAATGCCCACTCCCCCTGACTTTAACCCAGGGCAGCAAGTGGCCCTCGATTCCCCACTAAAATTACTTTTCATTAATGGGACACTCCAAAACTACAAAGCACTTTAGCTGACTACCGTGCTTTATATGTCAAGTGTGTCCTGTTTTCATTTTACAAAAGTGAAGATTTCAACAAAAATTGCCCTGCAACAATTGCTCAATGAGCTGCATTGTGAAGTCTCTGCGCGGAAAAAAGGGGAGGACTTGACAAGTAATCTGCAGCATTTGCCGGCTGCTTTAAGATATACCCCTAATGAAAACCATGCATAAATGTATGATTGTTTTCATTTGGGGTTTATCTACTAAAAGGTGATTTGTTTCATTTGGGCAGCAGAGTGTCCATTTTAATTAGTGTTCCTGAAGTCCTCTCCTACCTGCATACATTGGACATTGCATGGAATGTATTATAATTGTGCCAATTTCTTGTAATTCAGAAATGTTTACACTGGTTACATAATAGCCACGTAGAAATGTGAATTTACTTTATGTTTTAACCAGATACTTTGTGCTATTATGTGTAAGATTGCATGGGGGTATCTTACCAGATGAATGGAAAGTCCAAAATAAAGATGCATTCACATGTCTGAAATTATTTCTTTTTCTCCTTTGTCATTTATAGACTGAGAAGGACCCTTGGAAGTGTACGAATATTTACTGATCTAGATATTGAACTGAGAATTTTTTTTAGCTACATATATCTTTCATTTGAGAAAAATAACTCAGTGGGCTAATGCATCCATCAGTAGAATCTGTTCAACCCTTGGGTCGCAGGTTCAAAACCCAGCAGCCCTTCATCCTTCCGAGTTTAAAAAAAAAAAAAAAAAAGGTACCATTAAATTGGGTAATGGCAATATCACCAGGACGTACTTGAAAACCAGCGTAATCTGAATGAAACCTTTCCTGGTTAAATGCTTTGTTATTATTAGAGAGAAAAAATGGCCAATTTTTCCAAAGTCAATTATTTTGGACTGAAATGTGCACATTTCTGGTCAGTTTCTTGAAAATCACCACTAGTGTGGAGTTTCTCTTTGAGAACAGAGTCAGACTCTGTTTTCACTCAAATGCTACTCACAGACCACTCATGCACACTAGCCTCCCAGTGATTCCCTATGGGGGAAATCATTGGATTAACTAAATTGATCAATCTTCAATCCCTCACAGGAAGGTGAAGACGACTCCTAAAAGGGAAACGGTTTAGCATTAGTGTAGTGTTCCTTTAAGCATATTACTTAATAATTTAGCAAAATCAATCTCTCTTGATTATTTACCAGTGCATTTCCTAAATGTCAAATTTAGTCATCAGATATGCTATCGAGTAAATTAGGGGGACAGTGTCATAAAGAAGATAAATAATATTGAATTATTAGGAAAGGAAACAGTCTTTGTTATGCTTTGAGCCAACACCCTCAAGAGTATCCCTTTAAGCAGTCTTTGCTATACAGGAAAAAAAACAAAATACAAACTCATGTAACTAGTTATGGTGTACAGTTTTGTCTTCTACGAAACAGCGTGGCTTGATGTATGGTCTCTTGGTAAGGACCATCAGATTTTTGTAGTAAACACACCTTGCTGCCAAATTCCCACGAATTCAGGAATTAAGTTTCCAAACTTGAATAAATGTTTCCCAAACTGCACAGCAATCTGAAGCTGGGCTGCTCCAAGGAAAGATTCCTTTAAGTATAAGACGATTTTCATTCTAAATACTGGCAAAGCATAATAGGAATTGTATTTCAACATCTGTTGATCTACATTTTTGGCAAAACTGATCTAAAAAAGTATTGATAATACTTTAAACTTCCTTAGAGCTATATGGGTTACAAATATTGACACTAAAACCATAAAATAAAAAAAGCATATCACAAAGTCAACGTGGCCCAAATTAGGTGGTGACAGAGAGGTGAGCAGGTTATCACTAATACAAAACAGTAAGTTACAAAGCGGACAATCAGAAATGCCAGTTATCGACTCTATTAATCAGTGGAAACGATAAACCAGTAGATCAAATCAGATGGTGTTTTTAACACTATAGTGTCAGGAATACAGGTTTGTGTTCCTGACCCTAGAGTGTTGCTTTAAATGCAGATACTCCTTTTATCATTTAATAAACCTTATACAACCTCAAAAGCAAGTAATATTACAGCCAGATGTTCAGGGATCAAGTCCTGGGGAAAAAAGTGTGGGAACTCACCCAAGATTCACGCCAAAGAAATTTTTTACAAAATTATACACTCATTTGCATATATATTTCTCAGAAAATACAGTGCAACATTTATTGTAAAGTGTCCGTTTACAAAGACAGCTCAAAAATGAACATGCAATAAACAAAGTGTGCAGTGCAGAGAGCGTATAATGAATGTAGTGAGTGCGTCTGTGTATAATGAATATAGTGTTTAGTGAGTGCCGTGTGTATAATGTGCGAGTATAGTGAATGTAGTGAGTGCAGGGTGTATAATTTAGGGGGGAGCATTTTATTTTACATTTATATGTATATTGTATTTTATTACCCCCTCCCTGCTTCTTAGCTTGCCAGGTAGGGGGACTGCATTCCCTGGTGGTCCAGTGGCATGGTGGAGGGAGCCAGCCGTTGCACACGGGGGCCCAGCACAGTGTTCCCTCTCCAGCAATGCTCTAACTCTCGCGAGACCCGTCTGTGTGATGTGAGGAGAATTGCCATGGTAACCCGTGGCAACGCTCCCATGTCCGCAGGACTTGTGAAAGTAAGACACAGAGTGTGCTGGGCCCTCGTGTGCAGCGAGTCCACAGTCAAAAGGCAGGTCCTGCAGGACTACTAACAGGAACAAGTGCATGAATGCCGTTCCCGCCGGAGTCGAGCCCTGCACATGCTTGTTTTTAATAGTTATTCTAGCTTTATTTTTGTTGGATAATTTCTATGTACATCATATTAAACATCCCCGACACCTACTGGTCAATAGTATAGCAAGTTTACAGGTTAGGTTTTTTTTCTGGCAATAGTGGTCTTTTTCAAATGGCAGGCTTGTGGAAGATTTGATGTGTTTTATCGGTTATTCCACAATTTTGCACATGTAGTGCAGTGAGCTGCTAGATAAGTGGTTAGGAATCAGGCAAGGTAAGGGAATAGTAGATCGCTTGTTAAAAGTAACTAATCTTCATATTTACAGTGTATTGCATACTAAAACATCACAAAGTATAAATACAGTGACACATAACCTTTAATTATTCCAAAACAAAAGTGAAAACACTTACTGCAAAATTCAAGGCTAATGCTGAAATCAAGTGTCTGCAGGTACTGTATTATAAGAGTTCTCAAAACAACAGCACATGGAGAGACAAAATAGTATAAGAACAGCCAGGTGCGAACCATATAAACACTCCCTCAAGTGCTTTAAATATTCAAATGTATATAGAATGCACACTATAACAATCTCAAAAAACAGCTTTATTATGTACAAAAAAAAAAAGTACCAGAGTGAAAACATAAGAAAAAATAAACAAAGTGACAGAAGCAAGGGCAAATACAATAAAACAATAAATTACCACAAAAATTCTTACAAGCCTCAAGACAGAAACACGAGTCACCAAACCCCCCCAACGTTTCGGCACCAACTGGCCGATGGCGGTTATGGACACCGGATAAAGTGGGAGTACACTTATTGTCTATAGAGGTTGGTTATTAGAATATTAACATCTGTTATTATTTTAGGTCCCATGACTCTTTACTCCATATATATGTTTTCAGTGCACCCAATCAGTTTTGATTTGATATTACAATGTTACTATTAAAATATTGTGCCAGGACATGAGGTGATGATGTCACGTCCTGAGCTGGTAACAATTTTGTGCTGATGGCCATCAGCTGTAAGAGGGCTTTATAAGCAGACACATTTGAACATGGATACAGGTACCCTTGATAAAGGCAGCCAGTTGGTGCCAAAACGTTGGGGGGGTTTGGTGACTCTTGTTTCTGTCTTGAGGCTTGTAAGAATTTTTGCGGTAATTTATTATTGTTTTATTGTATTTGCCCTTGCTTCTGTGACTTTGTTTATTTTTTCTTTGTTTATATGTTTTTACTCTGGTACTTTTTTGAACATAATTAAGCTACTTTTTTTGAGATAGTTATAGTGTGCATTCTATATTCATTGTATTATAAGAGACCATAGATTTAAAAAAAAAAAAAAAAAAAAGTGTTAATTGTTTAAAAATAGTGGTGGTGGACCACACTTAAGTTATACAAAAGGTTATGAAGTATATAATTACATACAGTGGATGGAAGAAGATTCTGTACAATATATCTTAATTAAAAAAAACACAATTGTGCAATACAGTTAGATAATATTAGCAATGTCAATGGGACAAACTTTCTAGAGCCAATATAGCTCTAATTCTGTAGGGGAAGCCAATATAATCCCTGTGTAGAGATACAATGATGAGATCCAGGAGAAATACCCAGAGCATGGACCTGGCTTAGGTAGAATAATCCCCACCTATGGATATACTGGATGTCCAGGGAGCCAATATAAAAATGAAATACAATTCCAAGGACTGGATATTTATTTAAAAAAAAACCAAAAAAAAAAACCAAATCCTTTAATATATATTAAAATTAGATAAAAAGTACCAGTCCATAATGGAATGGAGTAGTGTCTGGTTTCAGATCCTCACTTTATGCGTTTCACCGTGGCTTTCGCAAAAGTGTACTGTACTATATACTTTCTTCATTACCTTTTGTACAACTTCAGCACGGTCCACCACCACCACCACCGTTTTTTGCAAGATTGTGGGGATTCCTTGTAGGTGTATGGTTTCCTATGTTCTATTGTTAAATGTTGTGTGCTCTCCTGTCCTGCTGTTGCTTTTTACATACTATGTGGATTTGTCTGTTGACCCTGTACAGCGCCATCTGTTGGCTGTAAGTATTTTGAAATGGATATATGAACTACCCAAACAACGAGGATTTGCATATTATGAATTCTTCCTGGAAGAAGAGAGCTGCAGCCAGGTCCAGAGTGGAAGAAGTTGCCAGTGACCTCAGTTAAGCTTTGGCAGAAGTACTCAGTCTGAGTACGAGAGCTCCATCACACAATGTAAGCACCCTGCTGTGGTTATTGTGCTTAAAGGGAGACTCCAGACACCCAGACCACTAATGCCCATTAAAGGGTAATTATTGCAGTTTTCATAAACTGCAATATTTACCTTGAAGGGTTAAGTCCTCCTCTGGTGGCTGTCTACTAGACCACCACTCGAGGACACTTCCGTTTACATAGAACACAAAAAGTGTGTTATAACGACGCTGGACATCCTCACGCTATGTGAGGACCTCCAGAGTCGCCGAAATCCCCATAGGAAAGCATTGCCGTGCATGCGCATTAGGTCTCCCCTGCCGGCTGACGTCGTAGGTTTTAACCCCTTCAGAATCATGGAATGGGGGTGGGAGAAGGGACCTGCAGTGGCACTGGAGAGTCCCTTTACGGGTTTTGAGGTTTCAGAGGATATTAAATATGGAACAAATTTTTTTTTTTTTTTTTAAATTCTTTATTTGTAGGGTTTTCTCCTTGAAATTAGGAGGGAGGGGAGAGGGGTACAGAAAATAAAAAAGGGGGGGTGGGTGGGGGTTGTTCAAGACTTAATAGTACTTTCAAGTTTAATGTCCGTACCAACGCAGGGTACTGTTGCATATTGGAAATTGCTTACATACGTATCAACATGGTATTAGCATTATGTCTTCCTTGAACGCTAAGTTAAGTTCCCTGTCATTTCTGCGTTCTTAAGGGACAGGTTTTGTCTCTCGTCGACTCTTTGTGAGTCTTGTCTCGTTATGTATAGGCACAATCTTGTCCGAGTCGAGGAGTGGTTTAGGGTTAGGGTTGTGGAATAGGACGGTGTGGGCATGGGGGGGAGGATTCGCGGTCCGCGGGCCACCCAGCGTGCGGGTCCCTCTCGGGGGTCCCAGGTTAGTGTTTGGGGCTATGTGGTTAGGTGAGGGTTGTTCTGTTTGGGAGGTAAGTGATATCCTCTATTGGGGGATCTCTATGTTAGGGGGGGGCAGTTAATATCCCGCCGTGTTACCACGGGATGGTCGTGTCTCCCTCCAGCCATGGGTCCCATATTTTGTGGAATTTTTTGGGCGAGTCGTGAATTTGTGCTGTGAGCCTATCCATTTGCATGCTATCTATTATCTTCTTGGTTATTGTTTCTTGTGTCGGTATGCGGTTTGTTGACCAGACTTCTGCTATGGCTCTACGTGTTGCTAGGGCTATGCGGGCGGATAGCTTATTTTCAGCTCTAGTGTATTGGTCTATTGGCTTGGAGAGTAGGAGCATCCAAGGGTCTACGGGGCAAGGTTTGTCTATTAATTTGGAGATTAGGCGTGTGGTGTCTTGCCAAAGTGGTTGGAGTTTCGGGCACGTCCACCAACAGTGGAGGAACGTTCCCGTCTCTCCGCATTGTTTCCAGCAAGTGTTGGTTGGTATTTGGTGCATGATGGCCAGGCGTTGGGGGGTGAGGTACCAACGGAATAGCATTTTGTAGGCTTGTTCCGTGTGTGTAACACATATGGAGATGGAGGCCGTTGCCTCCCAGATGTCTGACCAATCTGTTGTTTCATCTGGGGGCCCGAGGTCTGCCTCCCACGCTGCTATGTATGGGAGAGACAGTTGTGTGTGGTGGGTCGCTAAGGTTGCGTATATGTTGGAAATTTGTCCTTGTCTGTTGGGGTGCGCAATGCAGTCTCTTTCAAATCGATTGAGTTGAGCTGTGCCGGCTTGTTTTATGATTGGAGTCTCTGCAAAGCTGCGCAATTGTATGAATCTAAAGTGATCAAATGAGGTGAGTGAGGATGAGTCTTTGATATCCGCAAATTTTATAATGTCGTTGTCTTGGTACAAATGCCCTAGACGGGAGATGTCCCTGTGTTCAAAATGAGCGAAGTGCTTGGGGGTAAGTCCCGGTGGGAATAGCCTGTTCCTCCATATGGGGGTCATAGGAGATAGGAACGAGGACAGTTCAAATTTGTCCCTCATTTTATCCCATGTGTCAAGCGCATGGGTGATTGAGGGAGCAGTGGGAGGGGGTAGGGGTCTATGTGGTTTGGGTACCCACATGTACAGGGACGGATGGTCCCTACCGAAAATGATGTGTTCCAAGTCCACCCATCTTTTCTCCCCTGGTGGGACGTGCCAGTGTTGTATCTGCGTTAGGTGTGCTGCGGTGTGGTAATGTGTGAAGTGTGGTAGTCCTAGTCCCCCGTGTTTCTTGGGTACGTATAGTGTGTTTCGGCGTACTCTGGGTTTGTGTCCATTCCAGATGAATGTGTCAATGGCTGTTTGTAGTGCCTTAAAGTCTTGTTTTTGGATCGGTATGGGGAGGGTTTGGTATAGATATAAGAATCTGGGTAGGAGATTCATTTTTATGGTGGCGATGCGCCCCAGCCATGAGACCCCTAGTGGTTTCCATTTAGTGAGGTCAGAGTGAGCTTTTTGTAATAAGGGGGTGTAATTTGTTTTATAAAGAGTGGTGATGTCTGTTGGGAGTTGAATCCCTAGGTACGTCATCGTTGTGTGGCAGATCCTCATCGGGCATATTTGTTTGAGTGTAGCTATGTTTGGAGCGTCTATTTGTATTGGGAGGAGCTCTGATTTGTTCAGGTTGATCT